AATATTTGAAGGTAGGTGAATGACGATTCACCAATTTCCACCATAAAAAACGAAATAAATTATTAAGTTTTAATTGGATTTGAAACTCCTAGATCTTTTGAGATTCATTGAACTTTCAATGGCATGTTTCAATCTCGATTGTGCCCTTCAGGTTTTGTGACCGGGATGTCGAGGATCACAAAACAAGGTGTGAATAACCATGCAAACTCACTTGGTACCCTTAACATTATCACCTAATCGATGTGCCGGTTAACCACACACGCTCCACCGATCTATGATAAACATTAAGTCACCCTTCGTGATCCTTACTAGTCCAAGTTAGTGTGCCGGTTAACCACACACGCTCCCCAACGACTTGGTAAGGTACAAAGTGTGAATTTCATGGGTTAGCACCATATTCACATTTTCCTAAAGTAACTAAGATTGGGAATTTATTAAAAAGGTTTAGTTATTTATAATATTCATTATACTTTTAATGAGAATTTAAGTCATTGTCCTACCCGTTCGGCTAACGACCCTCCACCGATCAAGGAAGCGGTGGGTGAGAATGGACACCCATTAAGTTGCCATTTTATAGGCAACAACCTTATACCCCCCTTATAGACCAGGCTTCGTGAATGAGGCCTACTAACGGTAAAAAACGACTTGATCTTATACATAGATATATAATTAACCATTAATGTTATAAATAGTATAAGGGTGTATTTTAACTTTTAAAACTCTAAGGGTTGGAATTAAAGTATATTAAAGTGTGTGTAACTTTACAAATTCCAAAACTTGAGGGCAAGTTTTGAAACTTTTCAAAACTTTTTCATTAAACTTATGAGTTAATGGTTCATAAAAATGAAGACTCTTCATTTTTATGTAACTTATGTGTTTAAATGTGTGTTTAAAAGAAAGTGACCTTTGGATATCCATAACTTGAGGACAAATTATGGACTCCATTAAAACACATAAATGATCAAGAATTAATGATAAACAATTCAGCAAATAATTCCTATCATTTTTCTAAACTCATAAGAACATGAACATGATCATCAAGATTTCAAGAATTATATGAGCACATAAAATCATGGAATTTTGATATAAGCCATTGTAAATGGATTAGCATAAACATTACACCATCTAAAACAGGTTTTAAACACCAAAACAGTTTAGGGAATGTTTCTAGTCCATTTCCAGCAACAAAAGTCGAAAATCTGCTGTCAGTTCATTCTACTCGTCGAGTGCACGAACCTACTCGAGTAGGATGAATTTTCACTTGGACTCGTCGAGTCCCCCCATGGACTCGGCGAGTCCACTGTTCAGACAGCAAACAATTTCGATTTTTAACACAATTTTGCATCAAGTATCAACAAACAAGCCTAGTCTCTGATACCACTGTTGGGTTTTGAGCATTCTAACACTTCCTAAGTGTACATGCAACCCTAATAAACCTTGGATCTATGTTGTCTAAAATACATCCAAATTTGTTTTCCAAGGTTTATAACTTATCTAGCATGGCATGGGGAACTTTAAACATAAAAGAACTAGATGAATACATACCTTTTTTTGAATTGATTCCTTAGGAGTTTGAGAGCCAAGCACCAATAATGTGAATGCCTCAAATGGAAATCACAAATCACCACAAACTTGAAAAACTTATGAGAGAGTATATCTATGCTCTAGAAATCGGCCACCTTTCTTCACATACACTAGGGTGTCATTTCATGCATCACAAGCTTGTTTATATAGTGCACATGATTAGGGTAAACCCTAATAACCCATGTCTTTTCCTTTCCAAGGATCCATGGGTTAAGAGCTCCATGGATCATCCATGGACTCCCATATAAGCTTAGCCCATTACCATAATGAGTGTTAGCCCACACTATATAAATACAATAGCCCATGTTTAATTAGTCACCATTTGATCACTAAATTAATTCATAATTAATTTAAGACGAATACTAATTAAATAATATAATTTCATATTAATATATTATAACTTATAATATATTAATAAGCCGCAAATATACTCTTCTCATAATGTTATCCATATAAATAGTTCGGGTGAAGTGTAACCCAAATGGACCATGCCGGGTCGGGTCAAGTATATACCAAATAAGTTATGGACTTAGACACCTTATCCAACACTACCTTCCTCTGCCTGAGTTTTCTTACAACAACAACTATCACTCCAGTTTGGTGTGCCGCCATTCAAGATTCTCTATGGGCGGAAGTGTCGTACCCCAGTTTGTTGGGGAGAGGTTGGTCATAGAGTCATGGGAAGGACTGAGGTAGTCCTTCAGACGACAAGCATATTCAACAGATTAGACATAGACTACAGACAGCTCAAAGTCGGCAGAAAAGTTATGCCAGTAAGCGTCGATCTGAGTTGGAGTTCCAAGTCGGCGACATGGTTTTACTGAAGGTATCAACCTGGAAGGGTGTAATACGCTTCAGGAAGAGGGAAAGTTGGGGCCCTGATATATTGGGCCATTTCAAGTTATTGCCAGGGTTGGCAAGGTAGTTTACAAGCTGGATTTGCCTGAGGAGCTCGATCATATGCACAACACCTTCCATGTTTCTCAACTTCAGAAGTGTGTGGCTGATGACTCAGCAGTTGTTCCTCTGGATGATATTCAGGTTGATGATTGCAAGAACTATGTTGAGAGGCCAATGACGGTTTTGGATAGGAAGACGAAGACCTTGTGAAACAAGGTGGTTCCACTGGTCAAAGTTTAGTGAAAGCATCAGAAGGGTTTCGAGTGGACTTGGGAACCCGAGATGCAGAGATGTGGGAGCACTACCCTGAGTTGTTCATAGCAGCGGACTTCGAGGACGAAGTCTGATTCAAGTGGGGGAGAATTGTAACACTCAGGTCAGGTGAGCATTTTATCAAGTTTAAAATTAGGAATTTTAACCTGGCTCACGACGCGAGGGATGCTTGTCACGTCGTGAGGGGAATACTAGAAACACGCGTCACCTTTGGGCTTACTACGTGAGCACATATGGCTCACGACGTGATGTCGGTCTAAGGGGAAAACCCTAATTTTAGGGGTTTTATTTCTATATTTAAAGGAAGTGAGGGATATGGTTAGCCCACCCTCAACCCCCATCACCTCCTTGCACTCCCCTTTGAAACCCTAACATCCATATTTGATCTTGAGCTTATTTGTGGTGAATCTAGCCAAGAAGAAGAAGAGGAAGGGAATCTAGTCCATCATTTATGCATTCACGCCTCATCATCAATCATTTTCACACCTTCTGGACCTTTTGTGAGTTTCAAGTTCATTGCTTTATGAGTCTGTAAGCTTAGATCTAGATTTTTATGCTTTATCCTTCATATACAAGATGATGTAGTGGTTGGAATCCATAAAGTTGCCAACTTTATGGATCTCCAGTGTCCCTTGAGTAGTATAGATGCTAGATCTGTAATATGGTTGAGTTTTATGACTCTTGCGTGAGATTTGGTATCATTTCCTCTTTTTGTGCCCTAGTTAGTGTTTGGGACATGCATGTCCAAAAGCCATGATTTTTATAATGTTTTGGAGTAAATAAGATACTATGGAGGATTTGGTTGCTTATCCAAAAAGGGTTGAGAATTTTATTAAGCACTTTTGTTCAGAGCGTCCTCACGACGTGAGCACTTGGGGTGTCACGACGTGAGGATGGTGTTCCTCTGCTATTTTAACTTATTAGGTCAAGAAGTGACCGCTAGAGGGTTACGACGTGACGAGTGGCTATGGGACTTTCAAATGGGGATTTGAATTTGACTTTGACCAAGTTTGACTCAGGGGTATTATGAGTATTTTGAGTGGTAAATTGAGTTGGGTCACTGTTTTTGTATAGGTGATCTGTAGATTTAGTATCCGGAGCGGTGATTTGTTCAATTATCATTTTCAGACTGTGAGGTGAGTTTTTTCTCATTGTACTTGTGGGTCGAAGGCACTAATGCCCGACCTACTAGATTATATATCTTGGTATATAAGATGTTGCTATGTTGTAGTGAACTGTTAGATCTACATGTTTGTCTGATGACTGGTTATATGATTATCTGTTGATACATATCTGTTATTTGTTATGTATATATCAACATGGTATGGTGGGGTTGAGATTGTACTACTTTGTGCTGTCAGTCAACAGACCGGGGCATTCCAACCGAAAGGTTGTGGGTTGGGCACTACAACCGGAAGGTTGTGGGCCAGGGGTAATCCAACCAGGAGATTGTGGACCTAGTATGTATTAGGCAATCCAACCGAAAGGTTGTGGGTTGGGACATTCCAACCGGAAGGTTATGGGTCAGGGGTAATCTAACCAGGAGGTTGTGGACCCAGTATCTGTTTGATTATATGTTTGTCATACCTTGGGAGAACTCACTAAACTTTGACTTACAGTTTTGATTTATTGTTTCAGGTACTTCAGATGATCATGGCGAAGCGAATGCGTGATCGTGCACGTCCTCTGAATTTTATGTTATTGGATTTTTAGGATTACTCTGATTTATGAAATTATACTTTTGAAACAATGTTTTTGTAAACACTTATTGTCTTGGGGTTGTTTTTGAAAAATGAAAGTTTTATTCTGATTTTTGAGATGTTACACAAACTTAGATAAATACATTTTTTGAACACTTTGGTCATAAAAAAAATTCTAGGAAACGTGAGGGGTTTTATTTATTTATTTATTTTAAAAAAAAGGCTTACCGATGCCTAGAAGGTAACAAGCAAAATGAAAAGATCCGGAAAACTCACTACAAAAGAAAACTATTTAAAACGTTATGGAGTACTAATAATCTTACAAAAATTGAAGATGGTCTTATAAAAAAAATTAAAAATTAATCCACTACAATTTATAACTTGTCATTTTCTGTTTTGTTTTGTTTTCTTGGACATTTTAACCCTATCGAACTCGAGGAATCAAGGAGCGAGTCAACTCGGAATCAGTCGTTCGCAGGTCCACAGTCCACACGATGGCCAATTTCAAAAAACCTAAAAAAAGAAATCTTTAGAAAATAAAATAAAATAATTTCTTTAAAAAATATCTCCTCAAAACCAAAATAATCTAATGGAACCGGGTGACCATGGTCGAGGCTTTTACTACCACCACCAACAACCACCACCACCACAGCACCACCCTCACCCTCACCCTCACCAACAACCACCTTCTCAACCTCCAGCAGCCACCGGCAATGGGATCTTACCAAATACTAGCACAGATACACGATCCAGTCAAACGCTATATCCTCACAACTCTATCCCATCTGCCGTCTCTTCTCCATTACAGACCGGCGTACGGAGGAAGAGAGGGAGACCCAGAAAGTATAGCACGCCGGAGCAAGCTGCTGCTGCTAAGAGATTCTCCTCCTTGTCTTCTCCAACCTCAACTAGCAAAAAAGACACATCTCAGACTGTTGGGGGCTCCTCAACAACCACTTCTTCTTCTTCCAAGAAACCTTCTCTTGGTAGGGTTCTCTTTAAAATCTTCTGTAAATCTAAACATTATCCGTTTGACGCTCTTGAGTTTTTTTAAGCACTCTAGACTTCAAGGGTTTGTTGATTCTTGTTTTTACTATATTATGAATTTCCTTTCATTACATGATTGAATTAGGTGTTTACATTCTGAAATTTGGATTCTTGGCTCACTGATCTGAAACCTTACTTTGAATTGAATGTCGAAATAAATTTATTATCTTTATTTCAGGGAATGCTGGGCAAGGTTTTACACCTTACATGATAACAGTGACAGCTGGCGAGGTATGCATTGGTTATTTCAAGTTTCAACACTTTGATTTATGATTTTCATCATTTTGATTGAATTTCGTAGGATGTTAGCTACAAAATCATGTCATTTATGCAACAAAGCAAGCAAGAGATATGTGTGATATCAGCATCTGGTGTGATCTCTAATGCAACTCTACATCAGCCAGCCACATCTGGTGGCAACATTACTTATGAGGTTAAACCATTCATCTTTTTCATAACACAATTAAGAAATTGATGTAATCGAGTGATTTGATTTGTTTTATTTATTTATTTCAGGGTCGTTTTGACATTATATCACTATGTGGATCTTATGTGCGTGCTGATTTTGAAAGCAGGAGTGGTGGATTAAGTATCTGTTTGTGTAGTAATGATGGACAAATCATAGGAGGTGGTGTTGATGGACCTTTGATAGCTGCGGGCCCCGTGCAGGTAACATTCACCTCTAGCAACCAAGTTTTGGTCCATTGTTGTGGAATTTTCTATCTTTTGGTTTCAATTTTTTGTTGATGTGGTAAAAATAACCAAACACATCAAAAAGAAGTTGAGCCACATCAACAAAAGATACAAAATTTCATAACAATGGAACAAAAATATGCAAAATTTCACAACCATGGAAATTTTTTTTTGAAAGTTGAAAGGTTGCAGCTTCTGAAAAAAAGTTTGAGGCACCTGAATGGAACAAGTGTGAAACTTTGTTCCTTTAAAAGTAAAGAAAGGGCAAATTGCAGGAAATCGCAACATACTTTAACTTTTAACTTTTACGGGTTTTTACATTGTTTTAATGTTTTTACAGATTATATCAATATATTTACCTGGAGAACTAGTAACTAGTTACCATTTGATTATTTTGATTATGTGGCATCCTATAAATGATTCGGTGGCAATATAAATGCCAAATAAGCATCAAGAAATAACAGATAATAGATAAAAATAGACAAAGTTTTAGGGATTCGAACCCACTTCTCCTACATGCTAAGTAAATATTTTACCAATTAGGCTATACGCCCTTTTGTGTTTGTAACTTTATGTATAGACTTCATCTCCTGAAACTTTAACTTTTTATTAAATTTTCTGTTTTTTATTTGGTTTTATTTTTTGTAATATTTATTTTATAAACTTATTAAGACTTTTTTTTTTTTTTTTCAAAACAAAGTTGTGCTATTGTTTTAAACTTACTTTTTGTTCATTATATAGTTTTATTAGGTTAGTTTGGGTTATATTTTATTTACTTTAATTTTTATTATCTAGTTTATATTTGGTCATTTTGGGTTGTATTTTGTTTATTTAAATTTCCTTATTGATAATCATATTAAACATAGTTTTGTAATAGGATTGAATATGTTTGAAAAATAGATAGTACAAAAATTAAATAATTAAATAATTTTACAAAATCTAAAGATTTAGGAGAGTAAGGTCAATAATTTTTTTTTGCAAACCAAAGAGGCATCTAGCGTAATTTGTAAAGCATTCACTTTGCATTTGGGAGGTGTTGGGTTCGAATAGCTACATCTTTTTCTTTTTCTTTTTAATTTGGTATTAGTTGAATGCTTATTTGGCATTTATATCGCCACATCATCATTAAATGGATGCCACATAATCAAATGGTAACTTGTTACCTCCTCCATGTTAAATAAAAGTGTATTGCCCATATCAACAAAATCAGAAAACTACATTGCTATTTCCTGCAATTTGCTCTAATAGAAACTGCATCAAACTCTATTTTGGGCTTTCTCCCTAGTTTTAAATTTTTATGCTCACCATTTACTCGGTTTTCCAAGGTAATTGTTGGTGCATTTGTTATAAGCAGTAAGAACACTGCTGCTGCTGCTGCTGTTACAAAAGAGGATGCTTCAGCCTTCCCATTGGCAACTGATTCCTCTGCAATGATTGGCAACTTGAATAATCATCAAAACAGTGACAAGTATCCATTCATCATCCAAAATGCAACCACCCCTTTGCCCTCTCCTCGATTATCTGACTGGAGGAGTAACAATGATTCAAGAAACACTTCTGGTTTTAATCTGTCAGGTATATTTTTCATGACTTTCTTTATAAATCAGGGAAAAAAAAAAACTTTGTTTGGAAGTAGGACACTTGAGGTTTGGTTGGGTAGATGTGTAAAATGGTATGTTTGGTGTTTGCATTGCAGGAAGAGTGAATCATGGAGAAAACCCTTCTCCAAATGAAGATATTTATCAATTCCGTGATTGACTACTTAATCAAGAAACTGGTTGAATCACTGTATAGTTTACCCCTGGCCCTTGATTTGTATTTGGTTATAATGATAATGGTATGCTCGGTTAGATTTTGATGGGATTTGCTTATGTATTTTCATTGCAGTAAGTAGTATTCTTGGGACTGGTTACAGATGCACACAATGTATTTAATGGATGTTTATTGTTTCTTTTTGTCCCTTTATCTTCTGTTTCAAGTATTTTCTTGTCTGAACAAATGATGTACTTATTATAAAAAATGCCACATTTGGCCTTTCCGGGGGAAATACAAGTAAAAAATAACCACATGTTTGTCCAGCCCAAAGAAGTGTTATCACAAATTCAAATTTTGGTATCAAATTTTTTTGCAGAACACCAATTTTTTTTTTTTTTTTTTTCAAAATTCCTTTTTCGACAGTACCATTAACCATGACTCTTTAAAGTAAGTGGATTAACAATCACTTTCAATTTTGCCAAGTTTGAAAATTTTGGTTATAAACTAAGTAGTTATAAGGAAATCACGATCACTTTATATCTAACATATTGAAACAGAATTTGTTTGATCGAATATGAAGTTACAAAACAAAAATTTACAATATTTGTTTGTTGTGTAGGTGTGTAGGACATAGTTGATGAAGTTTATCTTATGTGTTTTTTTTTTTGACAGAGAAGTTTACCTTATGTGTTGTAGAATTGATGAAATGTTTATCAGTTTATGTAGTTCGGGTTGGGTATTACTCATTAGGTTTAAGACCCATGTATTATATGGATTCATTTAAAAAAGATATGAAATTCTAAACATTTGTTAAGTTTGAATTTATATAAAAAATAAGAAAAATATTTAATTATTAAAATTAAAGTGTTTTTTCTCTTTTACATTTAAACAAACAATTTACTAATTTTGATAAATAAATAAAGGAAACTAATGAGACTTTAATTTAGAAATTTTTGAAATTAGAAGGAAAATCAATTAATGAAATGGGTATGTATTTATTATTATATTTAAATATTATGTGAAATTTAATAAAATGGAAAAAACCATAAAATGATATGTGAAAAAAAAACTAATTTAAAATAACCACAAAATGACACGTGACAAAGTGAATGAGAGTGTGACATGCGACAAAAAAAATCTTTATTTATTAGAGTAGACTAGGTTACAATTTCGTGGGAACCACGAGTAAGAAAAAAAAACAATATTGATAATTAAAAATGGTAATGAAAAATCAAAGATTTAGAAAATTCAATTAAATTAATAAGATACAAGTATATATATATATATATATATATATATATATATATATATATATATATATATATATTATAAAGCTAGCATTTTTTCTTGAACCTCATGCATTTGAAACTCCCAAGACTATTCAACTTATACAAATTAATTTATGATTAATTGAAATATTATGATTTGTAACTCTTAAAACTCTTCAAATCATGCTATTTAATTGATGAGTTAAATGAAATATTTAGCCTATATAAGAAATTTATAGATTACATATTGCATGTATGTCAACACAAAATGATAGATTATATTTGTAGGGTTTGAAGAGTTATATGAATGGTTCCATGGATATAAGAAAGCAATTGCAACATTTCCAAATATAAATTCATGTAAACTCAAATTGGGTGCATTTAAAGTTTTAGATATTATCCAAGGTTTAAAATTTGGTATGTTTGTAAATGTATACTTGAGATTATTTTTTAAGTTTATGTGTTATGCATGTTTCTATAATCACAAGATGATGAAGTGGGATTGATAATTACTTCTCCTGAGCTTTTGGTAAATCAACCATCAAGCTATTTATAAGTTAGAGCAATTAACTTTGTTAACATGTATGTATCTTTATGTTGTCTCTCTTTTTTTTATGTTAAGAAAATATATTTTATGTACAAGAGAACATTATACAACATGTATTTTATGCTATGTATATACTACGTTAGTTTCTATAGCTTGTTTTGTAAATAACATCGATGGAGTTTTTTATAATTTATTTTGATGAAAGGAGTTTACAATTATTATTCCAGATTGTTGGTGATAATGACGAATTAAAACAAATGATTTTTAATTTGATATGACTTTATTGTTGAAAACCAATAATTATGTGAGTTATAAAAATGAATTCTTTATGTTCTACCAAAACTTATATAGATGTACCAAATTTTAAATGTTTTTATAGTAATAAAAATAAATTATCTTATTACATTTGTGACTTTCCTTTTTTCCTATTCATTCTTTATCGTAAAGGAAAGTAAAATAAATAAAATATTAAATACAAGTGTTCAAAATATACCTCAAGTGTAACACTCATTCTCCCAAACCCACTCTTAACATATTTCTTTTTAGATTGGTCGCAGTACATAATAATTACTATAGTTTTGAAATTTAAATTACCATCCGTTCATTCTCTTCCAATATTTCATAGCTTTAAAGAAAAAAAAATGAAAATACAATAAAAAAGTATGATAGTTTTTTTCAAATATAATAAAGAAAATTTTCAAATAAGTAGTTTTTAGTTAGTAAAAAGTATTAATTGTTTAAAATAACATAAAACTAAAGAATAGATTATATCATATTAATAAATTATTGTTATTTGAAATAATAATAATAATATAATAATAATAATAATAAAATAATATAGGAAATAAAAAATATTCAAATAAATTAGGTATAAATTAATAAAAATAAAAATATAGTTTAAAATAATTTTAAATCAAAAACTTAATTCAATTTGATTCAAACATAATTTTTTATATATTTCTTATCATATACTTCAAATTATTATAATATTGGTTACAACTTAATATAAAAATTATTATTTCAATGATAAATACTTATAATAAGTAGTTTTTAATTAGTAAAAAGTAATAATTGTTTAAAATAACATAAAACTAAAGAATAGATTATATCATATTAATAAATTATTGTTATTTGAAATAATAATAATAATAATAATAATAATAATAATAATAATAATAGGAAATAAAAAATATTCAAATAAATTATTTATAAATTAATTAAAAAATAAATATAGTTTAAAATAATTTTAAATCAAAAACTTAATTCAATTTGATTCAAACATAATTTTTTATATATTTCTTATCATATACTTAAAATTATTATAATATTGGTTACAACTTAGTATAAAAATTATTATTTCAATGATAAATACTTATAATATTGTTTTTATAACTTTTAATTGTTAATATTTATATTACATTATTAGACACAAATCAAGAGTTTAAAACTCCCACTACAACTCAATAGTTTTTTTTATTTAAATGTAATTATGATTTCAAACTTAATGTAATTTGCCTTTATATTTTCCACTACATTCAAAAGCTTTTTAAACTTAAGGTTATTAATGTGCCATGATTTTTGATTTTCCACTTATTTATTTTACACATTTTAGCTATATTAGTAGTATATAAGTAAGTTTTGATTAAAAATCATATGTTTGAAAAGATTTGTGATTCAAAATGAAAGAGTTGAAAAAAAAATAAGTTTTGTCGTATCAATGGTTATTTCTACACAAATTTTTTATAACAATGTTTTTATATATCAAATGTATGTTGATTTCTAAATATTCATTTTGAATGATTTATAAGTGTTTAATAAGTTTTGTTTGATGTAAATGTTATAATGTTTTAGTGTTTTTATTTTATTAAAAGCTATAGTGTTTTTCATACTATTTGTTATTTGTTTTATATACAAATCGACATACGTTTTATATATAATTTCCACAACTTAAAACGTTCTATAAAATCATCAAAAGTTGTAGTATTTATTTTTTCATACTACTCTGTTTTTTTATACATAGGAATCAATATATGTCTGATATATAATTTACATAACATAAAACGGTCTATAAAATCATGAATTAATAGGGGAAATAACTAATGATATAAATTTATTAAAATTAATAAAACTAAAATGTTAACTATAGAGTTTGTTTTGCTATTAACATTGGTTTTAAATGTATAAATATTAAATCAGAATTTGTTAAATGTTATTATTTTAATTAAATAATTATATTCACGAGCAACGCGCGGGGATTCGACTAGTATATATATATATATATATATATATATATATATATCTATATATATATATATATATATATATATAGAGAGAGAGAGAGAGAGAGAGAAAGATTTTGAAAATATACTAGTAGTATTAGGGTTTTCCATTTTATGTTCAAAAGTTGTATGTTCAATTAGAGAAAACATAGATCCAGAATTAGGGTTGCATGCACACATAGATTTTTGTTTTTTATACTCAAAACCCATCAGGTTACTATGTATTTTAGCCTTTTATCATTGTATTTGTATTCCTCATCATTTGCAAGCATTTAGGGAGGGAATGTTGGAGCATGGAAATGCTCTACAAATTATGAGTGATATGTTAGGTTATTTTATTCCCTTTATTGTATTGTTAGTTACCTCTCTATATAAATAGAGAGGGAGTGGTTATGTATTATGTGTGCACCAAAATGTAGTCCTCTAGTTAGAGAGAGTGTGGCGGGATCTCTCCCACCAAGTGTTCTTCATTTTCATATTGTAACTCTTTATTTCTAGTAAAATTGTCGGATTACTCATCTCATTGTGCTCTTCATATTTTTGTTATCGTTAAATCTCAAGATCTAATTATTCTGCACAATCCGATCGTCAAAATGGGCTCTTATAAAGTCTCATGCGGATCAAGGGTCTAAAGCAATCTCAACTCCTACTTCCATTCTTGTTGTGCTTGTTGTTTCCACTAATCAGTCTCGACAACCTCCAAGGGTTACGTATGATGAGTGTGACTTTTGCAAACAGAAAAATCACTGGAAAGCTTAGTGTCCATTGTTAGTTAACAAGGGTAAATCTGGTCAGATTCAGTCAGGACAACAACATAGGTCTAGTCAGAAGAAGTTTCAGCCACGTTCTTCTGGTGCTTCTCCATGGACACCTCGCCCTCCACAGTTCGTTGTTGTTGCTGCTCCATCAGTTGACACTGAGTCAGTTGACAACATGTCACCTTCTGCATTGGATCCCAAGGTTTTTCAGAGTTTCAGACAGTATTTGGCCTCCAATCCTACTTCCATGTCTACATCTATGTCTCATTCTGGTCCTACTTGATCTGGTACCTCAGGTACACCTTCAACTTTGTGGATTTTAAATTCTGGTG